CACCTTTTCCTTTCGTTCCATGGCGGGCTGCTCCCAGCGGCTGGCAGTTCTGTGTTTTCTCCATGTTCCCTTTTTGGATTCTTCAGTTCTTTAACATCTGTTTAACCAATTCTTCACGTTAATTTCTCTGTTAAAATAAAGATTGGCGTTTCTATTTCCCTGATTTGACACTGACTGATCAACTACAAAATAAGTGACAAGGTACATTTGTGTCAGGGGGGAGAATATGTGATGAAAAGCTCACTGGAGAGAAGTCAAGTGGGTTTCTAGGAGCAACTTTCATTTGGTAAGAACCGGTGATCGTGGCCATGTGTTAAGTGTTTCTTATGTGCCAGGCACTGTTCTAAACCACGGGCCTAGAATCATTGTAATTATAGGAGGGATATAGTGTCACCCTCCCTCCAAATTTATGTCACCCAGAACCTTAGAATGTGGTCTATTATATGGAAATAGGGTCATTGTGGATATAATTAAGGTAGGGATTTGGATGAGATGGTCCTGGATCAGAGCTGGCCCTTACTCCAATGATAAGTGTCTCAGACACAAAAAGACCCCCAGACATACCAGGGCAAAGGTCACGTGAAGGTAGAGGCAGACATGAGTGACATGGCCGCAGCCAGGAAACGCCAGGGGCCCTGAGGCTGCAAGAGGCAAGGAAGCGTTCTCTGCTTGAGCACGGCCCTGCCAGCACCGTGGTTTTGGAATTCTGTCCTCTAGACTGCGAGAGAATAATTTTATACCGTTTCAAGACATCGATTTTGTGGTAGTTTGTTATGGCAGCCCTAGGAAACAAATGCAATCACTCACTTAATTCTCCCAGAAAAGCTGTGCTTAAAAAGCAATCTGCAAGCGGGGGTGCTTTCTATGGGTCTCCCAGGTTTCCCCAAGGCGTGTGCATTCTCCTCTCCTCACTGTGAGCCCCCTTCCTTGGCACTGGGGCAGCCTCTCAACCCCCAGGAGGTGGACCTGGCCTCCCGCTCACCTCCTCCCTTAGAAACTACACAAGAGGAGCCATTTCCAGGCATTGTCTGGTGTGAGAGGGGAGAAGCGTCGTGGGGGGAGAGGAGTGGGTGGGCAGGCCGGGGCAGAGGGGCGATGACAGGGACCCGCCTCTCCACTCTGTGGGAGCCCGAGGCAAGCAGTAGTAACTTCTCTCATTCCTCCTTTCGGTGACAATATCTGAACTGGGACCCTCAAAAACTTACCATTACCCAAACTTGCTGAGCCCCTAAGAAAAGCAGCTGGGATGTTTAATCTCACCCAGGAAAGAGCTTCCACTGCTGCCTCGCTCTCTCCCTCCAGGACGTGCGAGACTGTCAGAGGCATGGGACTGCGCCATGGGGCCACCATGGTGCTCCTTCTACCCCATGCTTGGGGAGGTCCCAGTGGGAGGCAGTCCTGTTGAGTGGCTGGGGTGCAAGGCACCATCTATACTCAGAGGCAGGTGTGGAAGGGGCAAGGGAAATGAGGGTCAGGGCTGCCTGCAGAGCAATAAAGCCAATGTCCTTTGAGCAACTTGCAGAAGGGCACTCCTTCCACCGGGCAGCCACAGCCTCACTGCAGGGCCCAGGGCTCAGCTACAGGAGGGGGCTGGATTTCATGCCCTGATCACCCCAAGGCCCAGGGCCAGACTCAGCACACACCCTGTGTAGCTGTCCCCAGCAGGGGTGCAAAGCCTAACGTTAAGGCCCAGTACCATGTGCTGCCTTGACATCTGGTGAAACTGGGAGAGTCTCCAGTGGCCAAACTGCCAGCTCCCCTTCCGCAGCCAAGCAACCCTTTGCATCTTGGTGCGGCCCCTGCTCATTCCTGAGTAGTGGGCTCCAGGTCCCTGCCAGTCTGTGGAATTATTCAAACATCCTCCCACGGAAACCAGGAGCCACCCTGCCCTGTTGTTACTACAAAGCCAGCTGCCCCTGCCCCTGCTGTTCACTCTGCCCCTGGGTGCGACCCCAGCCCTGGGCTGTGCCTACATGTGACTAATAAGCTGCTGTGGTCTCACATGCCCAGGATCACATGCCATGTGACCAACCACCCCCAAGACCACAGGGTGGGAATCCCTCCCTCACTGACTGGGCAAACAGAAGGCGATAGGAAAGCCTCGGAGGCCCACAAGGTTATCCAGGCGTGGACTCCTTTCTCACGCATAGCATGAGCATTTGGTCACAGGCATGAAACCAAAGGGGACTCAGGTCTGGGTGGGAGATGGTTTTCCAAGGGCGGGAAAGGATGATTAAGGGTTATTCCTGGGCCAGGGGCCGGGGATGAGCAGATTCCAGCACATAGGGAGGGAGGAGGGGTTCCAGCAACTTCCCAAGAATGCTGAGCTGTGACTCCAGGGCCCTGCTCAGAGGAGGGGCCTCACCACGTACTTCTAGAAGAATAATTCTCTCCTTCTCAGCACTCCTTCCCCCCACTTCATAGTGGTGCCTGTGGCGGGTCCTGTCTCCATGAACTTAACCGCTGAACAGAAGTCTAGCCTGCCAGGGATGTCTACAGACACTCAGAGCGCCTCCCCCAGGCCGGCAAGCACCCACCTGGCTGCCGGCCCCCCAGGGTTCCCCGTGCATTGAGACACATCCTCAAAACCACCACCAGGGGGCAGCCGCACTCAGAGTTCCTTCCCCTGCACCTGCAGACGGACAAATTGCCAGTATTGTTAGAAATGTCTGTGATACTTGTCTACTGCTTTACTGACCTCAGGTAGTCAGACAGACCACTGCACTCGAGGGGCTCTAAATCGCCTGCCTCTTTTTTTTTTGTATTTAAATTTGTTTTATGTATCCAATGACTCTGTTTACTTAAGGACTTTACCAATCCTTATCAATCCATTCCTAGCTTTGTGTACATTTCTTCGGTCTTCAAGCCCTGGCAGACTTATCTCCCCTGCCTCAGTTAGTATTTGTGTCTCCCTGGAGCCTGCGGAGAAGTCACTTACTGATGTGGATTTAAGACAGTGCGCATTCTCTAAGAGCTGTGTGTGGTACCCTGCACTCACGCAGCCTGGCCTGGAGATCATGGAATCTGTAACAGTTTTCTTGGCTGCCAGCTGATTTCTAGCGCTTGCTACTAGATTCCAATAGTGTCCGGAGGGGAGCCAAAGGTCAGAAGTCAGTGCAAAGGCAATATTTTGAATTATGGTCCCATCATTTGCAACTTGGCTTCTTTTTGGTTCATTCTGCTTTTTAATTTATTTTTTAATGGCCTAGTTCATAGGCTGGGCTATTTTATGTCTCTCTAGATAGACATCTGGGCATACAGTGTGGGTGATTTTCAGGTCATTTTTTGAGACTAAATTGTCTGCTATTATTAAATGATGTGATAAAAAATAGTGTCGGCTTGAGTCAGTGTTTATGAAAAAATTAAATCAGCAAAATCAGAGTCATCACCCACCCCTACAGTGCTCACTCAGAGTTTGCACTTGGGGCTAATGGCAATGACCTTTCCAAGGTTCCTTCTCTACCCCATCATGCCCCCTGCCCAGCCCTTGACGTGAAGGGACAGCCGGAGGAGGGTGAGGGCTGGGATTTGGGAAGCAGAGTGCCTGCTGGCTTCCTCCTTCAAGCAGCCAATGACCTTGGGTGTGTCCCTGACCCTCCCTGAGCCTCAGTTTTCCCTATTGGTGTCTAGTTAACCTCCATGGAACTCTTCAATGCCACCGTCCAGGGAACTGTGTGTGGCATGTCTACGTTGGAGAAGTTGAAAGCCATTCGCCCAGCCAGGCCAGGGGCTCTGGGAGAGGAGAGATGGGAATGACACCCTTCGCGTTGGCTAGTTATTTATTTATTTATTTTGAGACAGAGTCTCACTCTCTTGCCCAGGCTAGAGTGCTGTAGCATCAGCCTAGCCCCAGCAACCTCCAACTCCTGGGCTCAAGGGATCCTTCTGCTTCAGCCTCCCAGGTAGCTGGGACTACAGGCACATGCCACAATGCCTGGCTAATTATATATATATATATCTTAGTTGGCCAATTAATTTCTTTCTATTTATAGTAGAGACAGGGTCTCGCTCTTGCTCAGGCTGGTTTTGAACTCCTGACCTCGAACAATCTGCCTACCTCAGCCTCCCAGAGGGCTAGGATTACAGGCATGAGCCACTGCACCCGGCCCGTGTTGGCTATTTTATTCCAGTTCACATTAGCTCTTGGCCCTGTGTGTGTGTGTGGGGGGGGGGTTGGAGGCCTGATTCATCTGCTCATAGGGTAGATCCCCCTTTCTAGGGCAGACTCGCAATCACTGGTCTCCAGAGATGCAGAGTGAGAGCAGAGCTGTAACGTCCTGTCCTACGGCGGTGGGGGGGGGGGCTGGGCCTGCACGGGAGAGTCAGGTGAGTGGGACGTTCCCACGCAGCAGGTGAGCAAAGCCTGATGCAGCTTCCAACACGGAGCTGGGACCTCAGCATCCCCTGCCCCAGGACCTCACTTGGGGAAGTGCCTGTTTCTGTCGCCTTGGCGGGGCAGGGTCCCCTCTCAGATGTGGCCTGGGGCTGGCGGGAGCTATTCTTTCTCCTTAAAGCAGAGACTGTTCATCGGAGGTCTTTGGGCAAGACCCAGCTCAAGGCCACATTCTGTTTGGCTCATACAATTTTTAAAAATTAAATTAGCTGCCAACACGTAAACATGAGGCACTTGCACAGCTTCACTTATGAAGTCCATCACGGCGGCCCACATTCCTGCCGGCTGCAAATGCCAGGAGTTGGTAGCAGTATCCCCTTTACAAGGGGTGGCGAGGGCCCTGCAGTTTGCCCATCTCCATCCGGGGCTTCGTCAACTCGCCTTCTATCTGCAGGCATCGGAGGGCCCGTGTGTCTTCGTGCTGACACGCTGCGCTGACGGCAGAGTTTAATTATTCACACGCAATCTTACTCTCCTCATTCCCAACCCCCTGGGGCTGCCTCATCAGAGCCCCCCTAGGAACTGATATCCATCTTCTAGAAGTATCATAATGATATCAAGAGAACACACACCACAGATCATGATAAACACCTTTAATTAAAAAAAAATCTTATTAATATCACAAAAAGCATAGCTGTCCTAGCTCAGGAATGCCTAAAATGTTGCATGCAAAGTAATCATTGAGATTCTATTTTTAAAGAGCTTAGAACAATTTATGGCACATTGCAAGCACTCTACGTATGTGAAAGCAAATTTTGAAATATGATCACACGCATCTGAAAATTTACAGTTCAGTAAAACCAAGGGGAAGGGGTGGGAGGAGGAGATTAGAGGGCTGCAGCGTGGAGAAGGGCCCTTCAAGGACAGAGAGGATTAGAGCCCCTGGGACCTCCCTCTGCCTTAAAAGGCACAGGAATCTCAGTGGGGGAAAGTGAAGTGGTGATAAAAAGCCGGTCTGTGTGCCTGGAATATCAAAGTCAGCGTGCTGCCTCAGAAATCACACTGCGGGTCACGTGTGCTCCCGGTCCCTCTCCAAACCGCCTTTCCCTTCAGTCTGCGGAGTGTGCATCTGTCTGAAGCAGGTGTGTCTCACACAGGGGCGGTGAGATGCCAGCAGCCACACTGGCTTCCAGTGGCCCAGGAACCCCCAAGACGGTAGGGGAAATGTTGCATTTCTGCGCATTATTCGGGCACGGGGAGGATCATAGCTTTCATTGGATTTTCAAAGGACTCTGTGGCCCAAAGAACCACCCACCTCGATGACCACAGTCATTCAGAGGCTGAGCCCTGCCAGGGTCTGCCCCAGAGATGCCTCCGAGCGTGCACAGAGGAATCCCTGTTCCCTGCATGAAACGAGGGCTGGAGCCAGGCTGGGCCACATTTGTCCATTTGAGGATGGCCAAGGCTGCTTGTGGGCTGCTTTTAATTTATATTACATGTAGGTTTGAGCCAATTGTATTTAATTTCAATATTCCACAGTCTTCAGGAAAGCCTGGGTGGTGGAGCTCTTGGGATGTCACCCTGCAGAGGGCCCTGACGCTGCAGACCATGGTGGAGAAGAAAGCTGATACCCAGGAGGCTGGTTCTCTGTGACCCTCCCTGGGCAGGCCACATGAATGGGGGCCAGGCCTTCTCAGGTGCCACTCTGGGAGGCAGAGCCACTCTCCCTCTGGGTGAGTGAGAGGTGCTGCGTGAGTTGGCTAGGGCCGCCTTAACAAAGCACGTCAGGCCGAGTGGCTCGAAACACAGACGCTCATCATCTCACAGTTCTGGAAGCTGAAGGCCTTAAATCACGAGGAACCATGTCTCCTCTGCAGCCACCAGGAGAGGAGCCCTTGGCCTGTTCCCAGCTCTGGAGGCCACTGGTCCTTGGCGTGCGTCAGCTTGTGGCTGCATCGCTCCTGTCTCTGCCTCTGTCCCCACGTTGCAAGCTCCCTGTGAGTCTGTGTCCAGATTTCCCTCTTCTAACAAGGACCCGAGTGACATTGGATTCAGCGCCACTACAATGACCTCATATTAACTTGAATGTCTGCAAAAACCCAATTCCAAATTAGCCACCTTCACAGGTGCTGGGGGTGGTGGTTAGGACTTCAGTGTATCTTTTTCTTGGTGGGGGGAGCATAATTCCACCCGTAAACAGGCCCATTGCCTCACAGGCCCGACCACACAGTGCCAGGCGTGCCCACTGCCACACCCACTTTTCTCCTGGGCTCTTGGGGGTAGGGGCACCTGTCCCTCCTCCTGTGGTAACTGAGCACCTTCCCCTCGGTATACCTGCTGAATGAGGCCTCTTTTCTCCTCCATCTCAGCTCTGTAGGAAGCAAGTTTCTTCTAGACTGGGAGGTGTGGGTGGGCAGTGTGTGTGTGTGTGTGTGTGTGTGTGTGTGTGTTTGGGAGGAAAGGGCTGAAGGGTGAGTGTAAGAGAGGAGGGGGAGGCAGGAGGGCAGGAGGAGAATAGAGCCACAGCAGTGAGCACACAAATGACAAGGGGAGTGTTGTGGGCTTGTGACAAATATGGGCATGTCACACCTTTGGGTTCAGTCCTCTAAGGCAGGCATATTAGTACAGATATTGATTCTACTTTAAAAGCAATCAAAATAACAGTGGCTTAAGGAAGAGTGGAGGAAGTTCCTCTTTCCTGTAAGTCTGACCTAGTGGGTAGTCCAGGAAAGTAGGGAGACCCTGCTCCACAATGTTGCCCCAGCCCAGACTCCTACTGTTCTGCCATCTATCTGTGAGTATGCCGTTCTTCCCCAGGGTCAAAGCTGCTCTCTACCTCATCCACGTCCCAGCACTGGGAAAGAGGACAAGGGAAGTGGACAGCCCAGCATCTTTTCCTTTTTAAGGATTATTTAGAAGCTGCAGTCATCACTTCTACACTCACTGGCCGGGACTCAGTCACATGATCTTGCTAGCTGCAAGGGAGTCTGGCAAATGCAGCTCTATTTATCAGAGGCCACATGCTCAGGGATTCTGCTAAATTTAGCAAGGCAGGGACAGATGGTGGGGAACAACTGACAGTCTATTACAGAAGGAATGTGATTTTTAGAAAAAGAGAGTCATGAATCCACCTCTCTCCCCTTACAAAGGCAAAAGCAAGCCAATGGTAACCATACAATAAAGCACAGGAGAGGCATGTGATTAGACAAATCAGATCGTCAGGGGGGATTTGTCCAGTTTTAGCCAGGTGTGGGGTTCATGGCGAAGGCTTCACCTCGGGAAGGTGTGTGCTGGGTTGCTCTACAGCCAGCTGGTTTTCAAAGACGTAACAAGCTCTGTAGCTCTCCAGCACCCGGGCCTGGACGTACGCCTTGTCCTTCTCCTGCCAGGCGTCCGACTCGATGTACACGTTGAATGGGTCGTGCGAGTGCTCCAGCTTCTTCGAGCGGATGTAACTGAGCATGATGCCCAGGGTGAAGAAGCCGAAGAAGCCAAGCACCATGAGGATGTAGAGTGCGGCCAGCTCGCTGTCATTGCCGTGGGAAAAACTGCGGACAAGGCCAGACGTGTTCCTGCCCTGATGAACCGTCTCCCGCCACAGCTTGGTCAGGAAGGGCGTCACGGCTGTGGCATTGGACAAGATCATCCTGGGCTTCAGGGTTCCCCTGCTGGACAGCTCACTTCCAGGCAAACTTCTTAAAAGAAAAATGCAACCAAAAAAATCAAAAAGTACAACTTGGTCAAAACCCACACCCATGCGCACACAAATATACACAGCTTTAAAAATATCTCAGGTGACAGAGGTGAGCTGACACACTCCTCAGTCCATGGCATGTGCCACCTTGGGACTGCAATGCCCTCTCTTGATGTGATCAATTGATTAATCGATTCTCATTTCCATTCACCACTCCCACTCCCCACCTCCCCAGGGGGCCATCAGAATGGGTTCCTTTAATATCTGGAGTGAGACGGTAGCAACTTGGCCATGGGCTTTTGTTTCCCAGCAGGGAAACATGTCATTGCATATTGTTGTCATATTGTGTCTCCCCTGTGCTTTTCAGTTTGTGTAAATGGTATCAGGTTACAGTTCTCATTGGTCCTGTTTCCTTCATTCCTCACCACATGTTTTCCTGGCTCTCTCGGGCTGCTCTGTGTGAGCACTTCCTTGCTTCCAGCACTGTGGGGAACCCATAGCCAACTCCCACTTTTTTTTTTGAGACAGAGTCTCACTCTCTTGCCCGGGCTAGAGTGCCGTGGCATCAGCCTAGCTCACAGCAACCTCAAACTCCTGGGCTCAAGCGATCCTCCTGCCTCAGCCTCCCGAGTAGCTGGGACTACAGGCATGCGCCACCATGCCCGGCTAATTTTTTATATATATTTTTAGTTGGCCAATTAGTTTCTTTCTATTGTTAGTAGAGACAGGGTCTCACTCTTGCTCAGGCTGGTCTCGAACTCTTGACCTTGAGCGATCTGCCTGCCTTGGCCTCCCAGAATGCTAGGTATCCACTTCTTTTTTTCTGTCCACTGCCCAACAGATGGACACTGCTCTGGCCACTAACTCCATAAACAAAGGAGATACAAACATCCTCATTCTCGGCCCGCTGTGGACCCGAAACAATCCCACGTTTCACACAACGCGTTCCTGGTGCTCACATGACCAGTCAGCTGAGGTGCTCTCGGGTCTATTTCAGCACGGAGCACGTGTCTAGGAGCAGCTGTGTTCGTGTGAATGGAAAACCCACCCCATCCCACGGCAGACTTTGGAATGACTCTGGGGAGATTTCACGTCGGGCTCCCCTCGACGGGCCGGCATTCCAGCTGAGGCTGTGTGTGCCTCCTCCCTGCCCCCTGCCCTCCCCCCAAGGGCTAGCCTGGCCAGGCAGAAAGTGACATTTTCCCTGTCATTTCATCTTCATGTCACTGTCCCTGACACCCATAATGGGTCTGGGAGTTGGAAAAGTTGTCTGCAAGTAGCTGTGGAATTGTCAGGGGTTTTGTTTGCTCTGAAACCCCCATCTAGGTGAGATCGCTGGTAAGCTAAAACAAGTTTGTTTCTTTTTAATTATTATTTTTTTGCAAATGCCAGTGTCTACCCCCAGTTCCTGCAGGAAAACAAAAGCTCAAGGCCAAGGACTTAAGGTCACACTCCAAACTCAACCCAGAAGGAGCACTTGGAGCTGTAAAGTCCAACTCATTTCTTAGGAGCTTCAAAGTGGTGGAGTAGAACACACCACTGGGTATCCGCAGGGTGACTGCAGTAAGCAGAGGTGAAGGGTACGTTCGGGAATGCAGTTTCCTTCCGGAATCGCTATGGAAGGAGAAATTCCAACGTGTGCCACGGTGGCTCAGTCCTTCCCAGCCAGAATGGGCGACTGTGACGTCCCACATCATTGTGCATAGGACAAATGTCAACCTCAGACGCAGATTAGACCTAGCGCTACTTCTTCATTGAATTGGCTTCGCTGTAACCCAGCACCAGGCTAGGACAAGTGATGGCTTTCCGAGACCTCTCTTCCTCCGCCCATCCCTGAAACGATGATGGCACCTGGGAACTCTATCACTATCCTCTCCTCTTCTCATCTACCCTCCGCCTGGGTGATCCACCTGCTCCTTCAGGTTCACCCACATGGCCATGACCCAGGCCTCCCTTCTAGGCGCCAGAGCCATGTCTCCAATTGCCTGCCAAGGAGACATTTCCCTTTGGCCATCTCCAGGCTCCTCAAACTCAACAGTGCACCCTGTCCGGTTGGAGCCTGCCTCATGCCTCAGTGAGCCGAGCGGTGATATCACCCACTCTGAGATCCGAGTCACCCTCACTGCAATCTCACCAGGTCATTCCCCATCTCTAAGGCCTTCCCTGTCTCCTTCCCACCTTCAAGGTGAAACTTCCAGGCTTCTGTATGGATATGGGCTCTAAATATAAGGGGCCCTCCTTCTTGGCCCATGAAACTCCTAAATGGTGCCCACTCATGCTTTAAAATTCAGCCCAGCTCTCACCCCTCCTGACGCCTTCCCTGAGGTATGGGGCTGGGTGAGCACCACGCACACCATGCCCCCTGCCAGCCTCATCATGGGCACCATCTTCCCACCTCCCTGCCCCCAGCCTACCTAGCCCGGTGCCTGGTACGCAGCCACACAGGAGCTGCCTGTACATGTTTATTGAATAGATGCCTCTAGAACTTAACATCTTTCAACGGATGGGGCCTGAATCTTCATAACCCGCTCACTGCAATGAACAGGTGCCAATGAGCTGGTTTCAGAGCTTTGGCCAACTCCCTTTTCTAGAAGGGTGGTGTCTCCACCCTGACCACAGCCTCAGAGAACACGAGTGAGGAGCAGAAAGAGCTCTTAACTTTGGAATCCCATCTCTGTCCCAATCCAGGCTTGGATTCTGGCCCTGCTACTTCCTGGCTACATGATCCTGTTCAGGTTTCTTAGGCCCACTCGGCCCAGTCTTTTTCTCTTTCTCTTTCCAAAGCAGGGAGATGTTTGTGGGCTGTTGGATCACTGACCAGGCACACAGAGTGGCTGATGCAGCACAGGGCACGTGGTGGGTGCTCACTCAGTGGTCCCGGGTTTGAGTGTATTGGGTTTTCCACCTCGTTATGAAATCACAGCCCAAGGATCTGGGCTTTGAAGTTTTACCTTGGGCTTTCCCACAGCTGATCCCCTGGGTCTGTGTTCTTCACCTTGTGGGGAAATCAGCCAGGCACGAGAAACAAAGATTGTTTGTGGCCTTTCCTGACTTCTAGGCATTTGAGTCTATGCTCAGAGATCTGTTAGGTGCTAAACTGCATGGGCTCAAGAGACTGACTCTTATACAGGTACTGATTATTATGCAAAACCAGCAGTTAGCCCCATTCTAACCATGAGGGCAGACAAGAATTGTTGGTGACAGATACAAACTCAATGCTCAACAATTTCTTTGTAAATGACCTGAAACCACTTACCAGTGCATAGAACCCTGCCCCAGAAAACAAGCAGGCCTTGACCCGATGACTTGTTGTTTCCAAAGACCCAGAGTGACCACAGTTGGCAAATAATTCTGCCACCAATTAGTGTCAGAGAGTTCCGACAGCTTAATGGCCACGCGAGACAAGCATTACGGCAGGCAACATTTGGAGATTCAAATTCATACTGTTGGGTTTACCGAGGAGAAGACCTGTTGCTTAAAACCAGATGGACTTTTCTATGGCCGGAGGAAGCAACCAGAAACATCTGCTTTGAAAACCTCCCAGGCCCAAACCATTCTCAGCCTTGTTCTAAGGCAGCGGTGCTGTATAGCCTCGCTTTGTTAAAACGCAGATTGCTGGGCTCTGCCTCCAGAGTTTCTGATCCAGCAGGTCTGGGGTGGACCTTAGAATCTGCATGTCTAACACGCATCTCACATGCTGGGCTGCCGGGCTGGAGACCGTGGTTGGTAGCCCACTGGAACCACCTGTGGAGCTTTTACAAGATAGTGCTGCCTGGATCCCACCTCCAGAGACTTTGATGTCACTGGTCTGGGTTCCTGCCTGGCTGTGGGACATTTTAGAAGCCTCTCAAGTGATCCTAATCTGTAGCCAAGATTGAGAGCCCCTGGGCAGTGGTGTGGGACATTAGTGTGGGACTCTGGTGTTGCAGGGTACCTGGAAGAACTTTGTATAAATAGAAAACTTGATTGCATAGCCTCATTTTCAAATCTCGTTTGTTTTTCAGATTCTCTTTTTTCGGTCCTGCTTGTCTCTGATGTAGTCTGAAGAGAAGCTGCAGAGAGAAAGTCCCAAGTCTTTGCTGTCACCTTGGCTGCCCTTGTCCTAACTCATGCTGACACCTTCATTATGATTAACCTGTCAGAGCTTTATGCGGACCAGAAAAGTCAAGTTAATTAGCTGCCTTTTGAATAACAAAACTGCATTTAAAAAATTTTTTTTCTTACTTTAAATGTAATTTATTGTATTGCTTTTGGTAAATGCATTTAGTACCTCCAAAGCCTGCAGGCTGGGTCACCATGATATTTTTGTGTAATGAGTCTCAAAATGACAATGTCCTCTTAATAGCATGGCACAAATGACATGGCGTCATTTTGGGGTTTATGTCAGATTCCCTAAGTTCACTTCCAAAGTACCCACATGGCTAACAGCCACAGTTTTACACTGTTGGATTCATATGGATTTGGAAAGCAACTGATCCAACAATTTTTTTCCTTTCTTTTTCAAAATGAATGAATGAATGAATGAATTTTTAGAGATGGAGTCTCACTCTGTCACCCAGGCTAGAGTACAGTGGTGTCATTATAGCTCACAGCAGCCTCAAACTCCTGGGCTCAAGTTACCCTCCCACCTCAGCTTCCTGAGTAGCTGGGACTATAGGTGCAGACCACCATGTCTGGATAATTTTTTTTTTTTTCATTTTTTGTAGAGACTGGCTCTTGCTGTGTTGCCCAGGGTGGCCTCAAACTCCCGGCCTCAAGCGATCCTCCTGCCTCAGTCTCCCAGAGTGCTGGGATTTCAGGCATGAGCCACTGTGCCTGGCTTCAACAATCTTAATTTACAGAAAACTGGGCTCCATAGAGGTGAGATGACTTGCCAAAGGTCATCTCTCTCCCACCAAAAATACATCTAAAATTTAACCTTTCAGTTATTGGCTCACATTGTATTAGTATAGAAAAGTATATTATACTAATACATAGAATGTATTAGGATAAAAAAGTATAGGAAAATAGGACCTTGTTGAAAGGAAATGGACTCTTTATTTAGGGTCAAAGGAACCAAGGAATGGCCACTTTTATCAGATAAAATTGGATCTATGCAGATGGGGATTGGCTAACTATGCCATCAGACATCATCCCTGTCCCCATGCCCACAGTTTTTTGTGGCTTCCACGGTGTGTGAGGGGCTGGGGGAGGCAGAGCAGTAGGAACCAGGGATGTTCAGCTCCAAACAAAACCAATCTGATGCTCAGCGTGTGCTGAACAATCTCAGCTCTGGGCTTGTTGGACCCAGGAAGAGAGGAGATTTCTAGATTTCTGCTTCTGCCTGGGCTTGAGACATGGACGCTGGCCCCAGTCAAGGTTAGTACAGTTTTTTGTTGTTGTTGTTGTTTTTCCTTCAAAGCTTAGACTCAGAGCTGCCGGTCTGCTAGAAATCACTGAGTCACAGGACTCTGGGCAGCTGAGCTGAGCTAACCACTGCAAGTAGAGACCAGCTGGGCCTCCAGCACCTTGGGGCTCTGCAAGGCCCCCCGCTGCAGCGGGGGGAGACGGGGGTGGTGGATGGCGCCCAGCACACACTACCCCTTCTGACTGCTCCCACGTGCTCTGGCTGTGTCGCCTATCAGTGCTGATAACGGCCTGGGAGCTTTCAGAACAGAAGCTTTCTCAGCAGGGGCGACTCTCTTTCTTTCTGAAGCACTAACTGGGTGAGGCCCCTGTGGCAGACTCCAGGCTTTCTTCTAAGAGGGACAGACGCTGGGGGTGGGGAGGGAGGACAGGGAGGTCAGAGCTCAGGAATCCGAGTTCCAGCCCCAGCTCGGTCTCGGATAAACCACACACTTCCCAGGCTCTTATCTTACGTATCTAGGTACACCGGGAGTAGCATTTTTATCAGTATTAACATCACTCCTTAAGCATTTCCTCGAAAGAACATCCAGTCTTAAAATCAACATTTGGCCTTGTTTGTTTTAAGAAGCACAGGGTTCTTAAAAGCAATTACGGATAAGCCTAATTTTGGTGAATATGATATTATGGAGTCAAGAATTCTGAGTCAATTTTCCTTGGAGGCGACTGTCTATTGTTTTCATCTTCATCGTAACACTATGCCCAGATTCTGGAAATATATTTACCTCCTAGCAGAAGAGAAGCCACCCAGGGCCACCAGACCCTTCCAGGCAGTTAGCCACTTTGTATCTTCCATCCTTCCCCCACCCTGCAGTGACCCTCTGCCCCAGAGGGTCACTTGGTGTCCAGGGTCTCTCAAGGAATCAGGATGAAACTATGCGGAGGCAAAGAATCCAACTGTCCTCTCCAATCAGGAAAGGACACCTGCCACCTCCCAGCTGGCACTGAGTGTGGCTCTAGTGTCTGGCCCTTTTACCAGGAGCTTCCCAGACCTCTCCATGGGTGACAGAGAGTGGGAACATACACACTGGGTTCCTGGGGAGTCAAGCCGGTGAGCTGGTGAGGGGACCCAGTCAAAGTCAATGTGGGATAAGGTTGAGCATCCAAGGAAGGAGAACGGAGGACAGCTGGAATCGCACACAAAGGAGGGCAGGAAGGAATCTTAGCTTCGGCAAATGGAATAAATCCAAGGAGCCTCAGTTTCCTCCTCTGAACACTGGGAATAATGGAATCTACCCTGAGTCTACCCAAAAGCCGCAGGGTTCTGTGCAGCATGGAATGAGCCCTCCACCTGCCTAGCTCTTGCTGTGCACTCGCTCTTCTCTCTGTAAGAAGCATGCCCACCCTAGCTGCTTGTCACGATTCCACTGGTCCTTCCAAGGCCAGCTCATTCATGTGCCACACTATGTGTGAACCCCCGTCCCGAGTCCCCTCCCCTCCTTCGACCTTGTCTGTATCTCATAGCGCCTCCTCCGTATCTCTCCCACAACGCCGATCATATTCTTGTAATATACAAGAAGATCATATTCTTGTACATACACTTGTAATAATTTATGGATTTGTCTGGGCATTTCCTCCCGGGAACTCCTGAAGGGTAGAGCTATCTTGCTGGCCTTGATCTCTGCTCCAGCACCCAGAATATTCCAATGAGGGCTTGCTGAATGAAATGGGCATGCGAAGGATTAGATTCAATACCACCGCGGTGGGAATGTGAGAGTGAATGACTGATAAAGCATACGACACTCTGGAAATAGGTTGTTGGATAATCAAAGGAAAACCTCTTGCAATGTGGTTATGTTTTTCTATATTAAATTTTATATTATTTATACATTTTTATTATTACTCATTTTGAACAGTAAGATTTATATTAGTCTTATAATTATATATGTTTTGTATCTGCAACCCACCTCATTCCTGAAAAATCCTTCAGGCAGTCAGTGATTGCTAATAGCAGAGCATAATTTTCCTCCCTTCTAACCCACTCCTGGTAATCTTACTCTGTTTTCCTTTTCTTTTTCCATAGTCCTTATCACCTTCTCATATAATAGAGTTATCTTAATTATTATCTTCACTGCTTAATGTTTGTTTTTCCCACCAAAATGTGAGCTTTTTCGAGCAGGGATCTTGAAGGCGTGTGTTGTTTCTCATTGTATCTGGAGCAGCTAGAACAGCGTGTGGTGCATGGTAGGACCTGGTGCATGGTAGGACCGCAAGAAACCTTCAGTGATCGTAGGCATGCATGAACGCATGAATAAATAAGTGCCCTTCACCCGCCAGAAAGCCCCAAACCAGGGGAGCGGGGAGCCTGTCTCATCCTCAGAGATTTAACATGATAGCAGTGAGCCCCCCTGATGTCTTCAAAGGGTACTTTATTTTCAAAACTATTCACTTTCCACTAACCTGTCAAATGCAAGACTCACCTGTATGTTCTTGAGACCACGTCCTCAGACGGATCCCCAGCTCACCTGCTGAGTAGTTTGAAACAGGCCAGAGAAAGCAGAAGGTTTTCGCCTGGTCATTAGAAATTCATAGAGCGAGTCACTGCCTTCCAACTCACTCATCACCCTGAATTCAAGCAACCTGTGAACTCAGCACAGTCCCCACCAGCTGAACCGTAAATGACAGCTACGGTTACTGAGAAGGTTCTTCTTTAGTGGGGCTAGAAGTGTCTTTCTTAATCTAAACGTGGACTCCAATGAACTGTCAATTCACACAGAGCAACCCGAAAACTCCAGGAGGCAATGTATTAATATTATGCAATAGATCGGGCATATGCACACGGCTTGTTACTTGGTCAACTTTCATCTAACGTTCCCGACTTTGCCCATGACCGCAAACGAGATCAGACACCAACAACGTTCTCCAGGCCCCATGCCCTTCCCGTGGGGAGATGCCAAGGCCCAAGAACGAGTCAAAAAGGGGGTTCCTTGGAGGCTGGATGTGTACTCCAGGATTGCCTAGCTGAAAGTCTTTAAAACAAAGTGGGCACTGAGGTCTTGGGTGCTTTTAATTTTCTTTTGAAAATTGCTTTTAGGTATTTTCCAAATTTTCTACAAGATTGGCTATTACTTAATAACAATAGGAAAATGTTTTCGTTGTTCTGCGGTGGTGAGATGTTTTCCTATGCGTTTGTTGTGTAAGTAAGTGAGGACGGGCAGAGGGAGAAGGGGAGAGCCTGAACCATCCCGCAGCGTCTCACACTGCAAGGGTCGCTGCGCTTCCACCGGGAGCGCGCGCGCTGCGCGCGTCGGGAGACGCGGGTCCCAGGGGCAGCCTAGGGTCGCTGGGCGAGGGACCCCTGACTTACCCGAATCTGGGGCGCCGAGAGAGCGGGTGTGGAGCGGCGTCCGCGCCTGCCTAGCTCTGGGGCCACCAACAGCCGAGCTGGGGGCGGCACCTCCGCGGGGTGCGCGCGGGGGCGGGCGGGGCCTCCTGGAGCCCGAGGGCGTCACGCCCTGCTCCGCCAGTGCTCCCGGTCCGGCCCGGCCCGGGGACCCCAAGGAAAGACCCTATCCCAGCCCCGGCCCACACTGGTCCCCCGCACCCTGCGTCCCAGGCCAGCGCCGCGGCGCGCTGGGCAGCGCTTGGATCCCGCCGGGGGCTCTGGGCCCACAGAAAGTCTGCGTTAGAACAGAGAGGCCACCGACAGACTGACAGACTACCCTCCTGTGGGAGTCTGAGGTTGGCAGGGTAGAAGCCCCTGCCAAGAGGAAGGACATCTGGGAGACCCCCCAACCCTTGATCGTGCGCCCCGACTAACACCCTTTCAAACATCCCCAAACAGAGTCACTTCAAAGATGGCTCAAAACCTCACTAGACTTTTTTTGGCTTTATCCCACAGCCCAGTTGTGGCCAGGACCTAGTCAGCAAGCATTGATTGAGCACCTGCTTATTGGGTGACCGGCCCTGAGCTGAGAGTGCATCTCGAGCCACTCAGGCAGGGGCCCAGCGCATGGCAGCCAGCCGCTGGAGGCACCCAAGCCTCGGCGCGCACACCCCAGAGTCCTTGGGGCCTTTCTGTCCTTCCCAAAGGGGCAAACCCTGCGATGGCCCCGGTGACTTCCTGGCAAGTCCCACAGCAGCCGCTCACCAGCTTAGCAGGCAGGAATGAGAAGGGGCTGTCCCCATAAGATAGTCCCCTGAAAGTGCTGGGGAGTGACGTCCAGGCTCGCTGTTCTCCTGGGGACAAGGGCGCTTGGAGGCTCTCTGAGGGTCCACCAGGTGTGGCAGTGCAGGACTCTAAGGACCGAAGCGGAACTGGCATTGCTCTGCACTGCGGTGTGACCGTAAACCCACACGGCCGCTTTGGAGTCCTGAAACGCCCACAGCCTTTGACGAGCCCTGTGAAGTCTATTCTGCGGAAAAGATCAGAACTGTAGAAAAGCCATATGCATACCAAAGTTCTTTGTAATTTTACTTACAATAACTAGAATCTAAATGTCTAAAACCAGAAAAATGGTTAATTAAATTATGGTACCTAGAATACAATGTTATTCTACGTGGCAGGACAGTATATGCAGTCCTTAAGATAATGTTTACAAATAATGTGTAATAATGTGGGAGATGTTTATATTACAATGTAAAATGAAACATACCAACCAGACAAACACAAAACAAGGCCCTAAATTGTACATACAGGAGGGTATTATAGGTATTATTTCAAAAGTCTGTAGGGGAACACACCACCATATTAACATTGTCTGTTAGTGGGGGGCTTCCCTGGGATTTCTTTTATTTATGCTATTCTGTGTTTTCTTTACTTTTCTTCCTCCCTCCCTTCCCTCCTTCCTTCCTTCTTTCCTTTTTTTTAATATAAAAACTCTACATTTAGTAAAAAATACATAAACTTTATATGGAAATTGCCTCAATTCTCTCTCCAGTTCATGCCATATGTATACGGTACCCTCCCGTCACCTGTTTATAAAGGACTCCACCAGGAGAGAAAATGGGCAGTGGGTCTAAATGAGATGTTTGCCCCTCCACACATATATGGGTGACCCTTTTAGTAAACTTCCTAGACCAGGTAAACACGTGTGGAGCACCCAGTTCAGCTGTGCAGAGTGCTATCGTCTGTCACACAGTGGAACAATGCCTGCCCACCTGTCACCTGGTTATTGTGAGGACAGTGTGAATGCAAGCGCCGTCAAAAGGGAAGAGCCTTGTGTAAGTGTTGGGGTTCTTATTTCTCCTGGTTCTCTCCATGGTTCCACACAGGATGACTTATTCCATCATTACGATGCCATGGTTGTCATTTCCTGCTTGCAATGATAAGACACAGTTGCTGATGAGAAAGAGCATGTCTTGCTACCCTCAGTGAACTTGAAGTGATTTCCCCTTTCCCGCTTCTCTCCCTCTTTCTTCTCTCCTCACGCTTTCATTCTTATCTCTTCTCATCTTACAGGTATGGTTGACTATAAAATAATCATAATAATAGAACCACAGCCTACAAAGTCCCTAGGTCACTCTCCCTGTCTCTCTCTCTCTCTCCTTCTCTTCCTCCTCCTCCTCTCTTCTTGGTCTCTTTACCAGAGTGGTGGCCTCCTGCTGCTCTTGGTGGTTTATCTTCATCTTCCATGAAGGCCCCCTCAGTGCAATGTGACGTCCAAAGCCAGAGCTCCAGCCACTTCTCATCTTTTCTTAGGAACATCTCAAATGTTAACTCACAACTTGGATGTCCCGTGGTGCTCCTAAGGTTGCTCACAGGTTACTGGAGGAAGAGAGGCTCAGCTGTCACCAGGAAGGACAGATCTGCAGTGTCACCCACCTAGAATGCAGGATTATGTGGACTATTCTTTACTGTCTCCTCTGGCTACTGTTCACTTGGTGTCTAGTTGCCCCTGAGTTGGCTTGGGGACATTCCCTGCCCTTTGGTTCCTCCTTTGTTGTTTTTGACCCCTTTATCCCATGGCTCCTACTGTCCTCAAGGACGATTCTCATTGATTGCCCCGGGGCTTCTGAATCTTTAGTGACAAACACCCCTAAGGCTCACAGCCTTTCTTTAGCAGCAGCAGAGCATAAACTGTGTGCAGCACTGTGCTAAAATCATACTTCCTTCCCACTTGAAAGACAAAGGAGAGCAGGGCACTGAAGTCCCCATCCTGTTCCCATGGTGACAGGTGATGGGGTGCAGAATGACAGAAGAGAATCCTGCCTGGCCAGCTACGCCACCATACCCAAGGGCTGTCCACAGCTCTGTCACCTTCCCACACAGATGGCTTAACACATCTATGTCTTCTCTGATGGCCATTTGGTGCTCTTGAGCCTCTCCTGTCCCCATTCTTTGACCAACATCTCCCTGTCTGATTTGCTTGGTCACAGGAGGTCTGCCTCAGTTTCCTCCTGGGACTCCTCTTTGCCTGGGAGTGCTACACATGAGAGGCGTCCTCCCCACCCACTGCGGTTTCCTGGCATTGTCCAAAGACCTCCTGGAAGATTGCTCTGGTTCCAAGATGAAACCACCCTCAACCTGCTCTGGGCCCTGGAGGCTGTTCCAGCTCATTCCCCATGGCTCTGCACCTCCAGCAAAGCTTCTAGACCAGCAGGAGAAGTGCCACCCATCTCTGCAGGACCGACCTTTCTCCTCTGGCCCCTTCTCCCTCTACCCTCCATGTCCAGCTTCACATGCTTCCAGCTGATGACCCTCCTCCAAATGGGCCCAGTGCTTTTCAAGCCTCAACTCTGCAGCAAAGGTCTAAGGGGGGGGGAAGGGGGGCAGCGCTGGCCAGCTCCGAGCCTCTAGGCATGGGTTTGTTTGTTTATTTTAATTTTTAGTTCATTTTTAAAAACTTGGGAGCTCTCATATTAAGCATCTACATTTCTGGTTTCTATTCAAAAGTCAAGGGATCTGAAAATGTCATGTCCACCTTTGGCAGAGGACAAACTCAGGAGCTGATGCTGTCAAGTTCTTATACAAATATGCCAACTGGAGCATTCACCATGGGGCCTCCCCACCCCCACATTCTCCTCCCCAGGGGCACTGAGCTGGCTGCCCTGCTAAGTGTCCTGCCTGCTTCATTAGGTACTGGCTTTGTCACTCTGTTCTAGGACCCACTTACTGCAAAGCCCCTTACCTGGCTGTTCCTTCACTTTGCATACCTGAGAACTCACTTCCTTATTGAATTGCTTTGACCTTGCTAATTTGTAGGGTTGCAAGTACTTTTGGGCTGTGGCAGGTGTGCACATTCTGTTTGTCATTTTAGAGCAATGGTTATTAATTTTTTCTGATTCTTCTTGGGAATCTGAAAAAAATGATGGCTCCTCTACACACACCCCAAAAACCTACACACATGGAACATTTTACCTCCAATTCAAGAGATTTATAGACCCCCTGCTATGCTAGATGATTCGTGGCTGCCACGTTAGGAACCACTGATTTAGGACTATCTTTTCAATTCCATGGGTCTCTACTGTGGACTGTGCTGAGTAAATGCCATTGAATGTTGCCTGATTGGTGGATAGCAAGACTGTCCATCCATATAGTCATTTAAGCTGCCTCTGTCCAGGTCTCGGGGGCAGCTGCACTAATTCACAGCACCCTC